GAAGTGGCAGTAACATTGTGCTGTCTGGAAGAGCACATGAATAATAATAGCACCAACAAAATAAGAATCCAAAACTTATCAAATAATTGAAATTAAATTATTCGATCTGTTCAAAAGCATCCATCGGAATGCACAGGAAACCCAAACTGACCCCACATTCGACATGCTATCACCCAAACCACTCCATCACTTTTCCCTTTACTCATATCAAAAGGAACAAACTTATTTTTTTTTCTAATCGATTTTCAAAATAAAGGAACAAACTTTGTTTGTAAGGAAATTCTAAATTTCCTTTAACACATTTATGCTCCAATTTACTTCTACTCTTTTTCTGCCAACTTCTTTTATACCCAATATATGTTTCAGGTCGAAACCCTAACAATCCTAAAATATGTAAAAAGTCGATTCTCGCTATTTAAAACATATATAATAGTAGTAGTTAAAAAAGACAAACATTTTTTCGTAGTTAAATGAAATTCGGTCTTGATCTTAATTCACGTGACAATTTTTTACACATTTTACTAGGATCGATCCAATATTTATAAATTTTTTGGAATAAAGGTAAAAAAATTGTTGTTATTTTACACTTTTATTGTTCAAAAATGAGAAATGTTAAACATGGTTTCCATTTATCTATGTTCCGGATGGAGTCTGCATTCTACTACCAAACCATTGGACCAAACACATTCGATTTTTTTTTTTTTTTTACCAAACATTGCCATCATTTTTCTGTCTTTCAATTGACATTTGAACATTTGTTTGGTGTTTTCCATAATTGTGTATTCGGTGATCATGAAGTTGTTTGTTACTACTTAGATACGTAAACTAAAATTGGGTTATACATGTTTTGGAAATTAGAGTAACTTAAAAGCTTTATGTTCATTAGTACAACTCATACATATCCCATCATAATTTGATAAACTCGCCAACGTGTCAACAGATCTTGCACCGCCAACTCTCACATGGCTCCATGGACCCCACCAACGTGGTATATTATACACTACAACTAGACTACTTCAATACGACGCCATATATCTGCGTTTCGATATGATTTCACTTTTCTCATCTATTTAAATTTCATTCACTTTCCATCTCTTACATTTCCTCACTGAACTATCACTAAAGAGAGTGCTCACCATCATTAAGAAAAAAGCATAAAAAATGGCTCGGCAATTTGTTATCGCTGTGATCTGCATCGTCCTCGTCGCCGGCGTCGGTGGTCAAGCTCCGGCTT